GGGGGGGTTGGACGTTTACTGGGGGAGCAAACGACTACCCCCACACTCTGTTTCCAGGTTGCCAGTGTTATGGAAAAAGTTCTTTAAATGAGTAGGGCAAAGTTTCTTAACCGTTTAAAGCCTGATCCAAGAATAAAACAAAACAGAAAATTACTTTTTTTTTGGTTTGAATTCCTTATTTGGCCTTTTAACAAAATATGTAAAAAGAAAAAAACAAAATACATTTTTAATATTAATAATTTATTACTATGCGATAAGTCAAGATTATTTTTTGTATAGTCTTCTGCCCCCTGTTATCAGGTGTATCTGATTGCGTACAAAAGTCAAACAATTTCAATGATAAACAGGAATGGGAGATTCATCCTTGATGGGATTAACCGTGTAATGCCAAATGTATCATATTTGATACGGTTTCTGAAATGTTTTGCGTCTGACACCTTTTGCATAATTTAATGGTAAAAACTTTGCTCAAAATCCTTTCGTACACAATCAGATACACCTGATAACAGGGGGCAGAAGACTACACATAAAATAGTCTTGACTTATCACATAGTAATAAATGATTAATATCAAAAATGTATTTCTGTTTTTTCTTTTTACATATTTTGATAAAAGGGCAAATAAGGAATTCAAACCCCCCAAAAAGTAATTTTCTGTTTTGTTTTATTCTTGGATCAGGCTTTAAAGGGTTAAGGAAATTGTCGCATTTCCTACTGGTGCTAAAACCACAGTCCCCAGACATGAGAGACGACTTTCCCTAAAGGAATTAACAACCAGGTACCCTCAACAGAGAACCAAAAGAGAAAACCCTCCAGGACCCCGGCGCCCGGCGGGGAACCCCTGCTCAGATTTCCGTTTCTCTGTGGGGACAGCTGCCGCAAAGAGAGAGGCAACAACAGCTGCCTGACCCCGCCGGGCCCTGACCTCTGACCCCGGGGGGGGGGGGGGGGGGGGGGTTGGGGGGGGGAGGAGTGAAGCCTGGGGCAGGTTTCAACCCAATCTAAATTTAATAGATAGCTTTGAACGATTTAATTTCAAATAACGACTTTTAATTAACTCATTGACTGCCAGACATTTTCACAACAGAGTCCCATACTGCCAGAGTTTTTTTTAGCGTTTTGACTGATTTTTCAAGAGCCACAGAATAGTTTGTGCTATGACTATGTAAACACCGAATACACCAAAAGAAAGAGTAGACTCTCTTCTTTCATCGGGAAAATTTTTTTGTTTCTACCTTATTCCGTTCTTCCTCGACGTGCGTCTCACCGGCGACATGTTCTCTCATAGAACCGTTCCCTTTTTCTTATTTGCCTACAGTCTATGCTCATCTCCCATCAAAAGTGGCACTGCCCCCTAGAGGGTCAATTTGTTACTACATACTCTGTCTAGAAGCCTGATATTTACGGACAAGCTTTAGCAGATCGTCCCCCAGCCACTCTCGTTGAAAAACATAAAAGACGTCTATAGACGTCTTTGGCAGTCAACGGTTGTATTTGAATTGATGTCTATAGCAGTGTTTTTCAACCTTTTTTGACCCACGGTACATTTTTTCATTGAAAAAATCACGAGGCACACCACCAACCAAAAATGTCAAACAAATCTGTAGCCGCCTATAGTAACACTATAGTTATTCTGGTCTTATCTTAAGTGTCTTGAATAGGAATCAAATAAACACAAAAATATATTTTCATCATATTTTATATTATATTATATATATTCATTTCAAATTGCACTTAACATGTCCACTTCAATATACAAAATTATATACAAAATCTAGTCATAAGGAATTATTACTATTACTATTACTCCACCAGTCACTTGTACAGCACAGACACTCAAAAATTATTTGCAGATAATTAATTCCTTATCAAAAAATCTTTTTAGACCAATTAGGTGAAATAGGATGATTTTCTGCGGCACACCTGACCATCACTCGCGGCACACTAGTGGTTGAAAAACACTGGTCTATGGACGTCTTTGGCAGCCAATGAGTTAAGTTTAGTTTAGTTTTATTAGGATCCCCATTAGCTGCCAAATAAATAGCAGCTAGTCTTCCTGGGGTCCTCACATGAAGAAATTATATTACATTATAAACAGATCATAAAAAATAAAAATAAAAATCACAGTAGGAAATAATAAAAACATAAACAAGAGAAGAACTATACAACATATATACACAGGTCAGTTCATCTAAGGTTAAATAAATAAATAGTTCAGTAAAATAACAACTGGTTGGATGCAACGGCAGCATTTCGGGTCTGAAACTTGTTCCCTGGACCACTCACCTCCCCCGTTCTTGTAGCAGAGGTAGGGGAACCTCCACATGTTGCCGAGGCCGATGATGGACCCGGCCACCGACAGGATGAACTCCAGCTTGTTGCTCCACTGGCCCCGCTCCTCCATCTTCTCCTCCGATGGGGGGGGCGATGGCGTTGGTTCTCCGTGGTCGGAGTCCCCGGCGGGGCGCCCGCAGCACCTGGGGGGAAACTCACCTGTCATCTCGAGGTGAAAAAACCGGAGCAGAATCCGGAGGATCAGCCGAAAGGAGAAAGGTTTTGGTATTTAAGGCGGTGGACTGGAGGGGGCGGGGGTGTAATGCTAAACCAGGGCCGGCCTCCAGTCCCAGTCCCTGCTGAGCAAAGTGCATCACCTACTACGTCCCTACAGTTAGAGTAAGGAGCAACGTTAGAGATGACACACACACAGACACACACAGACTGACACAGACCCAAACAGACCCAATCAGACCCAAATAGTTCCACTCAGACACACACAGACTGACAAAGACTGACACAGACCCACTCAGACACACACTCGGACCCACACAGACCCACTCAGACCCAAAAAGACCCACTGAGACCCAAACAGATCCACTCAGACCCACACAGACCCACTAGGACCCACACAGACCGACTCAGACACACACAGACTGACACAGACCCCCTCAGACCCACACACACCCCTTCAGACCCATACAGACTCACACAGACACACTCAGACCCACAGAAACCCAAACAGACCCACACACACCCCCTCAGACACACACAGGCCCACACGGACCCACACAAACCAACTCAGACCCACACAGACCCAAACAGATCCACTCAGAGACACACAGACTGACACAGACACACACACACACACAGACACACACAGACCTACTCAGAGACACACAGACACACACAGACTGACACAGACCCCTTCAGACACACTCAGACCCACACAAACTGACACAGACCCCTTCAGACACACTCAGAACCACACAGATCCACTCAGACCCACAAAGACTCACACAGACCCACACAGGCCCACTCAGGCCCACTCAGAGACACACAGACCCACACAGACATGAGGATGACCCGTGACCTGTTGGCCTCCTGGACAGGTCCAGTTTCACCTGTACAGGGGAGACAATAATCCAGAGAGAAATGGGGATAAAAACCTCTCACCCGCTCAGGTTTTTGGGGCACCGGGCTGGAAGCAGAGCATCCGGCCGGCTGTGAGGATTGTGAGGATGTGGTTACACAATTATTTTGTTGTGTAGATGCTCGTGTGTAAACCGTCCCGTCTGGGCAGGGACAGAGGTGAGAGGCTCCGACGGGGGCAGCTCCAGTCGGTTCACACCGGATTGGACTGGGCCGGGCTGGACACCAGCACAACCCTCGTAACCCCCCCCACCAACACACACACACACACACACACACACACACACACAGACACACACACACATTCTTGTAAGAAGACTGAGGACCAAGTATAAGGACTCACAAACTGAGGACCAGTAGTTCTGAGCATCTTAGAAAGATTGAGTTTTCAAATTTTCCCACTAGGTATCTCACAC